TTTTTTTTTTTTTTTTTTTTTTTTTTTTAAATTCGGGATTAAACCACTCGATACATACTAAGCTGAGAGATGCCATCAGCGCTTTTTCCACCCCTAGTTTTAAAGATCCAAGAAGATCATTTAACAAAAGAGAATTTTTATTTATTCCCATTTTACGATGGAAAAATGTGAAGTCCTTCTGTCGGTTCTCAAAAAGTAAGGAAGAAATTCATAAAAAATATGTTAAAAGTTTATTCTTAATAAAACCATTGTAGTAACAATACTACTGTAGTAATAAATAAACGAAGGAGGGACGTTTGCTTTTATTATTATTATTATTATTATTATCATCATCATTATCATTATTATTTCTTCTTCTAAACAACAAGAAACTGTGTTAACATCTACACATCACGTCACGATTCTCTAACAGCCATCTACTTCATCATACAAAGGATCATTCTTCTGTAGGATCTTTATCGTCTCCTGTTTCGCTCTCGTGTTCGCTGTCAGTAGGAGGATCTAGCCCTGTATGAACAGTCACTTGAACGTTGCGATTGATACTGACGGCAGGAAAGAACACACCCTCCAGATTACTGAATGCCATGGGTCCTTGATGATCGTCGTTTACGTAGAAGGACAACTGTCGTCGTTCCAAATCGAGCAGGACACCTATAACCGATCCGGCTTCGATACCCCCTTCGATTCTGGTGTGATGAACGTCCGCGTGCAGGAACCACGAGCGCTGATGATCGATGTACATGCTCCAACCCTTTTCGTCTTTACCTATTGAAGAAGAATGGGAACGATTAGGATGAACGAGTGGCTTCCGTTCCTGTAAGGAATGTATTTATTACCTAGCATCAATTCTTTCGTCACGTCATATCTGCATACTCCGAATGCAGGATCGGCGTTGTTGTCATATCTGTCTATGGTCACCTCCCAATAGTGTACCCCGCGTAGGAATGCGATGTTTCCTAGAACAACTCTATGCTCGTAGCTGTCTGTCGTGACTGTCTGATTGTCGTTTGTTAATACAACATCCGGGTGGGATGCGTTGGGATCTAGGGTAAACCACGCCACTGCGGGGAAAAGGACAAAAAAGTTAATTGCACCCCGGAATAGCGTAATGGGAGGGGAAGAGATTGTAAAAAAAAAACATACCTTCGGCCGTCTGTATAGATACTGTCTCGCTATAAGGTCCTTCGCCGGTGCTGTTGTATGCTTTAACACGTGCTGTGTACACGCTATTGAAGTGTAAACCGTCCACTGTGCAGATGCTCTCTTTCCCGCAGTACACTTCCTGTACGGGAATACAAAATCACATATTAATACACGGTAAACTAGTAATATAGTTTGTATACAGTAAACCGCTTTCTAATTGGTGCATAACCAGAAAGATCTCACCTCTCTATTGTAGTTTTGTATACGTTAATTTCATACGGGTGGTCTTAATCAGCACCACGTGCCAATTTAAGTGACCAAACTCCCAATTAGGAGAAAGTAAACTTTTCGAAAAGAGAAAATTTGCAATTTTTATTAGGAGAAGAAAAAAAAAGGGGGAGGGAAGGACTTTTAACCTGTGAGCGGCCAATTACTCCCTTTTGGAAAGCAGTCGATTAGGGAGTCTGTCAACACTTTAGTATAGCATAAAGCAAAGAGACAAAGTGGTCTTCTAGTAAAAAGGGAGCTGACAGTCGACTATGCGAGAAGTAATTGGAAGCAGACGAACTCTGACGATCAATCTTTGTCACTTTGTCACCAGGACCAGATTTTTGTCCCAAATTTTCTCTAACTCGATATGAAAGTCATCCGTCTTATCGTCTTTACTTTTATTTCTATATTTGAACTCCTTGAAAGACGAAGAAGAAGAACAGGAGGAAGAAGAGATGGAGGAGGAGGAGGAGGAGGAGGAGGAGGAAGAAGAAGAAGTGAAAGAGTCGATTCGTTCATTTTGCATTTGGGAATTTACAACCACTGACAAGAAAATCCTCTACATCTTTTTGTTGAGAGGAGGGAGAGAGAGAGAGAGGAAAAAAAGAGGTCAAAATATCATAAACTGTGGAAAATAACGAAAAGTACTTTCATTATATTACCTTTTTTTTCGAACGGAAAAAGGAGGATTTTATAAATAAAAAAAATCCTGTCCAAAAATCCTCTATAAGCGTAAATATATATGTATTTAGGATATATAAAGGATCGGTTTCTACTAAATCCTATTTTTGAATCATGAGATTTGATGCGTTTTTTTCCCCATCTTCCTTTTATTTAAGATCTTATAAAAGGGTAAAGGAGAAATAATATATTTGAAAATTCTATATCTGTATATATATAGATTTACACCCCCTTTCCAGAAGATTTTTTTCTATAAAATAATAGATGTAGGTAGCTTATAGAGTATTATCTTTGTGTTATTTATTGCTGTAGCTTTTATAAAACGTGCGATTTATCGATGGTAAAACTTAAAATCCGATAAGGTAACACGGAGGAATTTCGAAGGATTCTCGTGGTAATTCGTCATAAATTGTCATCATTTTTTCCCCCCAATTAATTGAAATGATTCGAGAGGATTGTTTAATACATTTTGCACGTATTCGCCTGGAAATTGCTTGTGATTAAAACTAGAAAAGATTGCTCTTGAATTGTTTAATTCTCGAGAAAATTGTTCTTCGATATTGCTTCTATCAGCGCAATTCTCGTCGAGATGTTTCTATTTTAATGTTTTTAATCGTTTATGTACGTTTCCGGATCAATTTTTCCTCCTAAATATGATGAAGTTACCTCGTTAGAACACAGAGAACACGTGGAGAGAAAGATTAGTTGCGATAATCACCGGTAGAAGAAAAATCGGAGCTGCGGTCGACGAGATTATGCAATAAATCAAAGTCAATTTAATTAAATTTAAGCGGAATATAATGCATTATCTAATCGCAGCGCCAATTTTGCCACTGGTGGAAACTGGCAGAATCTTCTTCGAGTCGAATTTTCGAATAAAAGGTGATAAAAACAGGCTTAATTATCAAAAATCCAATTGAAAACAATGTAAAAAAAAATCGATAAAAAGCACGAAAATTCAGCACGCCACGTGCAAAGTACGAAAAGGAGATGGAAGAAAAGGGGAGGGGAAAAAAAGGGCCTACATCAGCCGGTAGGTACTTTCTAAGCAGGGAAGTAACATCTGCCTTTAAGGATCATTTTTCACATACATCGCTCACATATTCCCTCCTGTACAATGATGCAGAAACAATATTCTGCAATGTTAGCGAATAGTCAAGAACCTGAAGTATAATGCTACCAATTGGAAATAATGCACTCGGAAATATACCAGTAAAGAAAGAAAAAGGAGGGAAAGGGGGCCAAATTAACGGCTTTACAATACGGAACGAGCTTAAAAAAAATGGAAGGTAATAAAATTCACGGGCGGATGATTTTAACTCAACTAAATTATGTCGTGATATTAGTGACCGTGAGGAAACATCATCGCATTAAAGTGACTCTCGTCTTTACTACTGTTTCCACACTCCCTGTTGAAATAAAGAACAACAACACGCCGAATTATTCTCTTTCTCTCTCTCTCTCCCTTACGAAATTGTTTTATTATTGATCTCTTGTATTCTCGTGGATGACTGAAAACCTTGCCATAAGTTAGCAATATGTTCATCTTCAGCCACTGCCATTCTCTCTCTCTTATGTATTCTTCTTCTTTTTTTTTTCTTCTTCTTCTTTTTGTGGGCGCGTGTGTGTAAAATCGATAGAGTAGAAAGTTTAAAAATTATCAAAATTTAGTCCTTTGGACACACCCGATGTTCTGGACCCGTCTTTCGAGGACCACAAAAGTAGGATCGAAGAGCAAACCAGCATCTTCGATGCAGAGTGACCAGGTAATCGGGGTCTTTACTTCGGTTAACTGACTTTTGAACCGCACGGTATGTTAAACACGTGCAAATCTTGTCAATTTCGAGGAAAATTCACAGAATTATATAGAGAAAATCGCTACAAGAACCATTACAAGCGGCCGAGAGGATAAAACTTCTGAACTCTGATCGCCCCACTAATGGGATTTCCACGTGTAGTTTTCCAGAGTTTCTTCACGTGTCTAACATCTAAATAGGGGACGAAATGTCCCCCCTATATAGGGTTACTTTCTACGGGGATTTTTCACCTACGTAGATGAAAATCCCCGTAGAAAGTCTTCGTCTTGTTCCATTATCCAATCTAAGAATATCGGTTAACTAACATTTGGTCCATCCCTTATTCTGTTAAAATAAATACGAACACATCGCATTATAATATTCTGTACGTATTAAAAAGTTTGCAAATGAACAATTTTATGAATTTTTCACTAAATAATTGCTAAAATTAATCTTTTTGTTTAACGTACAAAGTGGCCCAAAAATAATTTATTACAGTTTCTACTGTTTCAAATAAAGTCCTCATGTTCGATAAAGAATTTACAGCGCTGCTCTCTTTCTATATATATATATATTTTGGCTGTGTTAACCTAACGTTTCCGGTTAACTAAGTTATGGACCACCCTGCATTCTGTTCCTCTTTCTACTACTCGAAGTCGTAGAAAATTCAATTGTTATTTCTTCAATCTGAACCACTTTCTACACAATTTTCCTTTGAGAGATACACTCGCTTAACTTTCCCAATACTTTGTGTGTGTTTATAGACGTGTTTACGTAATGAAGTTTTTCACGCGTGGGGAAGACGTTTCTAGTTAGAATTTTTGTATAAAATCGAACATTTGAACCTTTATTGATTAACTGAAAACACCTAGGCACGTGTATAACACACAGAGATGCTGGTTTCTGCAACAAAAAAATGATTTTCCAACACTGTTTTACAGGTCCTAGAGGATACATTCTGGTGTTGTTTTGTGTACCTTCACACACACACACAAAAAAAGAATCTTCTGTTCCTTACTTAAAAGAAAACTGTAATCTTATTTCTGTTTGCCATCTTTTATAAGCAAAAAAAAAAAAAAAATGTATGAGCTTTATTTATAAATGATTTAAATAATATACTATAGACCATACACTACCATTGCTGAGCAGTATAAAATCTTATTTGCTGCAGGAAGACTTTTGAATATTTTACTCTTCTTCCACCTCTTTGAGTTATTCTTTCTTATATTTTCTGAGTTTTTATGTACAGAATTTCTTTTTAAGTTTCGTATCTTTTGAGCTTTAGGAATTTTTTGAGTTTTTTTAATGAGGTATTGCAGTGTTTATACACTTTTCCTTCGATTTCTTTTGCATTTTCTGTTAAAATTTTATGAAATTTTTAAAAAATATTCGCGTATAAAACTATTTTACAGCTTTTTAATCCCTCATTTTACAATTTTAAACGTTAAAGTTTGAAAAAAAAAGTGGTATTTTAGGCTCGATTTTCCATTCTTCTCGCCGTTCTCGATAAGATTTTATCTACTTTATTAATAAACTAATTTCTGTGTAAATAAATCAAAGATAAACATCATTAATCAGATAAGAAATAAAAAAAAATACCGTTTTTAAACGTTAAAAAGGGGATAGAATCCTTGGTTAATAAATTATATATAACGAATACTTCGTATAAATTAATGATAAAATTCGAAAGAAAAAAAGAGCAAGATTTTCGGGCGAAATTCTCATCCCAACTTTTCTTTTTCTACAGTAAAAAACAAAGAGGAAAACATATTTTATAGATAAAACCCGTCGTTTTTTTTATTACCTTTCTCTTTTGACAACTATCCTCACCTATCATGAGCGCCATTTTACAGCAAAATGACCAAAGACCAGAATGGCAATTTTATCGTAAAAGTACTCCAGGGATAGTTGAAGCACATAGAAAATGGAGGGATAAAGAACTAAAAAAAAAAAAAAAAATAGGAAGAGGGAAAAGTAAAATTTGCGATATTTTACAGAAGAAAAAAAAAAAAAGACAGAAGAAATAAAAATACGATGGGAAAATAATCGTAAATTACTTACAGGGATAGTTGGATTCATGTCAATGTTGTAAACGATGTATAGATATATTTTACTTTATGGCACAATAAGTTGTAAATTGAAAACAGGAGGTTGGAGGAGGTTCTTTTTTACTCCTGTACTTTACTGTAAAAGCGATGAGGTCCACTTACTGAATTTATATTAATTACTTTAGTACAATTAATTACAATAAACTAACTTTTAGGCCACTCTTTATGGGTTTTGGGCTTCCAGTATCTAAGTTAACTGAATTTTGGACTCTCCTGTATTGTGCTTTTTATACGTTATTAGACTTAATTAGCTTTGGGGGTATTGAAATAAACTAGTAGTTCAGTCAAACTAAAACGATTATTAATCAATACAAGGGCTTATAAGTCTATTAACCGACACTTGGAGTCTCCAAAATATATGAAGATACGCTCTTTCGTATACAATTTAACATATAAATCATCCATTTAACTCTTTCTTCTTCTAAGATGGATGTCTGAAGCTAAGGAAAATCGAACCCGAACTCCATATTTCTTGAAAACTGAATAATACTGAACACGATTTTAGTTAAATTTCACGTTTTTTTAACTACAAAATTATAGAGTTAAAGGCATAACATGAATCATTTTGAGGCCTTCATGAATTAAGGCTCAGAATAGACTCGCTGGCCTTTTGTGAATGGGCCTTTGTGCTCACGTGATAACTCTTAAAAGAGTAAATGCCCTAAATCACTATTGATCTGTGGCTACTTTAAATATATATAAACTTGTCAAGAATAAAAGATAATTACATTTTTATTGTGTCAGCTGTGAGTATATATAAAATTCAATATGGATTATTTTTTTCTCCCTAAAACGAAATTAATTATTACGTATACAATTCTAGAAGAGCACTTTAATAAAACATTGAAACAAGCGATTGATATTAAGATAATTGAAGAAATATGGATCATCATTAAGATCGAAAAATGCCTTAAAAACATTTCATATATACACATATCGAATTCTCCTTTGGCTACGACGAGAATTAATTAAAAATTTCTCAAACGAAGCCGAGAAAAGTAATTAAAGTAATTATCCAAATAATAATAAAAAAAATGTGAAAAGAAACTCCATTTTATTTTTTTTACTCACTTGTCAGTATAAACAATTATTGATATTTCTGCTGGCAGGATACAGACATACCAACGCACGCTTCTTAATTATAACGGCATAAAAGTATGATTTCTACCTTCCCCCCCGCTACTCCAACACTCCTTACGACACGTGCAGGGGGGGTTGACATTAGAAGGAAGGGGAGGAAACGGAGAAAAAGTTCTTACCCTGAACGATCCACTGTTTCCATCATCCAATTCCAAAACATATCCTTCGACAAAACTGGAATTGTTCGGTTGCCATGCTACAGTAATGCTATTATTTTCAGCGCTGCATTCTTCTGTGATGATAACCGGTGGATGAGGAGCTGCAGACATCAAAAAGAAGAAATATCATCAACATAATGCAACTATAAGCTGTATTACAAGTAATTAGAGAAGAGAGCAAAGCTAATTTCAATTATGGTTACTCTTAGTAAAGTGCCATCCCTATCGTGGACAGGTGATAATTAAATTTCCTACTAATTTTCTATTTACATAAGAATATTCTATTTTGCTCTTGATTTATTTGTTTAAGGTTTACTGATACTAAGATTTTCTTTGCATGTACTTTTGATAAATATTCCATATTATTTACTTGTTAATTGTATGTAATTGCTTTCGACAAGGGGCTTAATATTCATGACACTGCAGAGTTTCGGAAATCTCTGCTGCCAGGTGACGATTTGTACGTTTTCTCCCTAGAGATTCGAGGAATTTTCCGGTAGTTTAGGGAAATTTGGGGAAGAAATCGATAAGGAAAGTTTACTTTTGATATTTTCCAGGGGAAAAATTTAAATTGTTTTTTCTGAAAAAAAAAGGAAAATGGTATTAAATATTCTTTACTGATTTTTTCCCCCAATTTTTCCTAATTTATTCGAATTTTCTTTATTTTTCCCTAGTAAAATTCCGTTATTCTTTTTCTAGTATCGAAGTATTAGTTACAGCTTTCATCCCAATTTTTCTCAAACCATTAAAAATATCCCTAAATTATTTATACAGTATATACAATAATTGTCAAAGTTTAGGGATTTTTTAATAAATTAGAAATCAGCTCTTTTACAGAAAAATTATAAAATCTTAAAACGTTTTTAAAGCAATTATAATTTTCTCAGAAGAAAATGAAACTAAATATTTTATATTGATTTTATTTCCACAACATTCTCTAAACCAATAAAAAAATCCCTTAACTATCTTCACTTAGTTAAAAAAATCCCTACAATTTAAAAATTACCCTAAGTTAAGGATAATTTTTCAAGAAAAAGAATATAAAAGCCATTTAAAAATTTATAATTTTTCAATAAATAAAAAAATTCCCTAAATTTTTCCCCAATTTTCCCTAGACTACCAGAAAATCCCTTAAGTACTTTAATTCAGGGAAATACAGAAATTTTCAAATCCGGATTTCTCATTTTCATAACGTCAGAATTATGTATTGGTTACTAATTTTCCCTAGTTTTCCCTAAACTACCAGAAAAATCCCTACAGTACTTTAATTGAGGGGAAATATAGGAATTTCTCGTTAAATTACATATCCGGATTTCTCCTCTTCGTAATGGTAAAATTATTTATTGATTCTTGTAAAGTTGGGTAAAGTTTCAAGAGTGAGGAAGGGGGGATAAAAAACGAATTTTATTTTCGTAAAAATCAAAAGAATTTAAAAATTTAAAAACCGTTAAACATAAATTATTACACAAAGCGAGTGCATTTTTAAAACATCCACTGCGCTAAGTTATGAAGTTTTCAATAAATCGAGATGCCAGATTAGTATTTTTTCCCTCTCCTTTCTGGAAAATGGAGAATTATTTGACATTACAGAGAAATAAGAGAGAGAGGGACAGAGCAAGAATTTTTACTTCGAAAAATCTTTAAAAAATTTAAGAAAATCGAAATAAAATTCGCAATGAAAGCAAATTTAGAATATATCTTGATCAATATTTTGATTTTTTAAATAAAATTTCATTTGCCAAATTGAAATATTTTCTTCTCAAAAGGAGAATTTATATTCTTACAGCGTAGGGAAAAATTGGAGAAGAAATTTTTCCTGATTTTCTGGAGCCCATTAATTGACATAATTACTATTATTAGTTTAACCAATTTATAGGGAATCTTCCTTAGAAATTATATAAATTTAGGTGAATTTTATAGCTGTAAAGTTCTCAATAAAATTTAGGGATTTTTTTTTAATGTTCTGTAAATGTTACTGTGGGGAATAAATTGCAAATTACTAGTAGATATATCTGGGTGAAAAGACAAACATTAATTATATTAAAAGTTTGATTACTTTAGCCTACCATTACGTTTATCATAAAGGGTCAAGGGTCAAATATGGGAAAGATTGGGAAGTGCAGGTTTGATGGTATCCTATATTTTCCGAAGGATCCTAGAGAATAAGTGTGAAAAATTTAATGCAGAACGGTAAAAGGGTTTAAGAATGTGAACAGACAAACAGACATTTCATTATATATAAATATATTTTACAGCTCTGTCAGTAAATTCAGTTTTTATAACTGGAAATTCTCTTACGATTTTTTCCCTCCCATAATTTCCCTATTTTAGCCAATTTCTTAAAAAATTTTCTAAATATATAGTGCTATATATGTATATATATCTAGCCCTGTA